GCACCCTCGGAGCCCTCCGCTCCCAATCTCAGCCCCCCAAATCCCCCTTTCAGATCCCCAGGGCTCAGTCCCAGCCCCCTAGACCGTCCCTGCAGCCCCTCAGAGCTCGCTCCCAGACCGCTTCAGACACCGCCAAACCCCGCTCCCCGCTCGTCCCCGCTCCCTCCAGGCGCGGACCCTTCTCGGTGACCACGAAGCAGCGTCGGACCGGCCCCAGGTGCCCGAAGAGCCGTTCCAGGAGCGCGGCGGTGGCGCCGGGGGGGAGGCCCCGCACCAGCACCGTGCGGGGCTCGGGCGCCGCCATGTTGGCACGCGGGGGATGCCGGGAGCGGGGCGGGGCGGCGCCCGGGGAGGGGCGGGGTTAGCGCGCCCCCTGGCGGCGCGGAGGACCGAGGGGCGGGGATTGAGGGGGGCCATGACCGGGAGGGTCAGAGGGGCTCGGGGGGTCCCACCCTGAGGGAAAGGGGTCGAGAGCCCCTTGGGGCACGGTTCCAGGGACGGGGACGCGTTCGGGGGTCCCGTACTGGAGTTGGGGTGGTCAGAGGGGCTCGGGGATCCCGGCCCAGGGCTGGGGGTGCTCAGGGTCCATCCGGGGGTCTCACACATCCTTCGCACGTGGCACTTTATTGGGTACACGGGGAGGGGGTAACTGGGGGTCCATGGGGGATTTTGTGGGGCCCCAGGTCGTCACCAGTATTTGGGGGTCTCGGGGACTTGGGGGGCACTTTGTTACCCGTATTGGGGGGTCACAGGGACCTGAGTGGCGTCTGGGGGGTCCCCAGACTGGCACCAGCACTTGGAGGGCTCAAGGACATGGGGGGGCGTTTCTTACCCGTATTTGGGGGTCTCATGGAATTAGGGGGTGGGTCCCCAGATTGGCACCAGCACTTCGGGGTCTCGAGGACTCGGGGGACAGCTGGGGAGGTCCCCAGATTGGCACCAGCAGTTGGGGGGCTCAAGGCTTTGGGTGGGCACTTCTTACCCGTATTTGGGGGTCTCGAGGACTTGGGGGGCGGCTTGTGGGGCTCAGGTCATTGTCAGCACTTGGCGGGCTCAGGGACATGGGGGGTTTGTTGCCCGTATTTGGGGGTCTCGGGGAGTTGGGGGGCACCTTGGGGGTCCCCAGATTGTCATCAACACTTGGGGGTCTCACGGACTTGAAGTGTCCCCAGATTGTCACCAGCACTTGGGGGTCTCAGGAACTCGGGGGCCCCGAGGTCGTCACCCTTATTTGGGGGTCTCAGGGAGGGCGGCTGAGGGGGTCCTGGGGGTCCCTGACCGGGTGGGGCCGGGCCGGGGTCTCCGCGCTGCCCCGCGGGGGGGTCACCCCGCACCCTACAAGTCTATGGTGTCACTGCCCGGGCTGCGGCCGTCCCCAGCCCCGGGGGGCGCGGGGGTCTGGGGGGCCGGGGGGGGCCGGGGGGTCCCCTCAGCCCAGCTCTGGGACGGCCGCAGCGGGGGCGGCGCTGCCCGGGGGGAGCCCTGCGGGGCCGTGCTGGGGGCCGGGGTGCCCCGGGGCGAGGGGACATCACCGGGACCCCCGCCCCGAGCCCCCCCGCAGGAGGCGGCGCGGGACGGGCCGGGGGGGCGGGGGGCGGTGGGGGGGCCGCGGCTGCCGGAGCTGCTGGGGCCGCCTGAGCCGGGGGTGCCAGAGGTGCCAGCTGTGCCAGCTGTGCCAGCTGTGCCAGCGGAGCTGGGATCTGATGGGCCAGCTGTGCCAGGACCCTTAGAGCCAGGCGCTCCAGGGCCCGGTGTTCCAGGTGTTCCAGGTGTGCTGCTGGTGCTGGAGGTGCCCGGTGCTCCTGTCCCAGAGGTGCCGGCGGTGCCAATTCCCGGTGTCACCGTTTTGCTGTCCTTGGCTGTGCCGCGGGTGCCGAGCTCTGTCCCGCCAGCTGTGCCAGGTGTGTCGGCTGTGCCAGGTGTGACAGCTATGCTGGGTTTGCTGGCTGTGCCGGCTGTTCCAGCTGTGCCAGGTGTTCCGGCTGTGCCAGGTGTTCCGGCTGTGCCAGGTGTTCCAGCTGTGCCAGGTGTTCCGGCTGTGCCAGGTGTTCCAGCTGTGCCAGGTGTTCCAGCTGTGCCAGGTGTGCCGGCTGTGCCAGGTGTGCCGGCTATACCGGGTTTGCCGGCTGTTCCAGGTTTGCTGACTGTGCCAGCTGTGCCAGGTGTTCCAGCTGCGCCAGGTGTGCCGGCTGGGCTGGCTGCGCCAGATATTCCAGCTGTGCTGGCTGTGCCAGCTTTGCCGGTTGTGTCAGGAGCGACAGCTGCTCCAGCTGTGCCCGTTCCCGTGGCTCCAGCTGCTCCCGTTCCCGTTGCTCCAGCTGTGCCCGTTCCCGTGGCTCCAGCTGCTCCCGTTCCCGCTGCTCCAGCTGCTCCCGTTCCCGTGGCTCCAGCTGTGCCCGTTCCCGGCGCTCTGGCCGTGCCCATCCCGGTCACGCCACTCGCCGTGCCCACCCCCGGAATGGCGGTGCTGCCGCCCCCCGGTAAGGCGGTGTTGCTGGTGCCGATGTTCCCGGTGCTCCCGGTATTCCCGGTGCTCCCGGCGGCGCTGATGACGCTGATCTCGGTGTTCCCGGTGCTCCCCAGGACGCTGATCCCGTTGCTCTTGCTGCTATTCCCAGCGCTGCCCGGAGCACCGAGCGCGGTGTTCCCGGTGCCGGCGGCGGTGCCGGTACCGGCGGTTCTGGCGGTTCCGGTGTTCCCGGTGCCCCCGAGCCCCCCGATGCCGCCGTTCCCGGCGCGGAACATTCCCGGCGCTCCCAGGGCCTCGTCGATGGAGCGGCGCAGGTCGATGGGGGAGGGGGGCCGGTACCCGGCCGTGGGGTCCCCGTCCACGTCCAGGGGGGACTCGGGGGGCCCCCCCGCCTCCTCCCCCGCCCCCCGCCCGCCGCTGCCCTCGGGGGGCTCGGGGGGGCCGCCGGGGGGGGCGCGGCCGCTCGGGGTGGCCGCGAAGGCCAGCGCCGCCAGCGCCCCCCCCATGGCGACCTCGGCCAGGCGCGCGGCGAGCTGCAGCCCCCACCAGGCCCAGGGCCCGGGCGGGGGGGTCACCGCCCAGCCCCAGGCCTGCAGCGCCCCGAAAAGCTGCAGC